AAAAAGTGTTTGGTTAAACAGGGTCAGTTTTAAAAAAGCAATAACTGTTGGATATCAAATGCATAAAATCTAAGAGTCTTGCGAAACCACTATACACCTTAAGAAAAAAATGTGGCAGAAGAAGAAAAAAAATAATAATCAGAACAAACACAATAGGTCTTTCCACAGAAAAGTGGAAAGACCTAATAATAATAATAATAATAATCAGAAAAAAATCAATAGGTCTTTCCACAGAAAAGTGGAAAGACCTAAAGATTGACATGCAAAGACATCTATTGACTAATTAGGATACTAAAAATAGTATTACAAATACAAAGTCTATCAGAAATCGATATATGTTTGGTTTGCTTGAATTCAGAAATTAAGTTAGACTATTTGACTATAGAAAAGTTTTGTTTTGTTTTCCACTTTTAGAATCAAACCCCCTACCCCCACACACACACATTTCAGTCTATGATGAAGCAGAAAACAGTTACTTACTACAGGGATCCCTACCGCATATTATATAGAAAATACCCCCTACCCAGAGTATTGACCTAACATGTCATGGCTCGAAAACTGTTTTGGTGTTTAGCAAAGTGGGCTTTCTTTCTGGCAAAATACAAAAGAAATATTGCCCAAGGTCAGCAACTGAAAGCATAAAGAAATGCATCTAGTTTGACCATCCAAATGCATCGTTGTTATTCTTAAATTGTCTGCATGATAGTAACCATTTCTGAATGTGAGCGTTTAAAAGTGAGATCGTGTTCCTGAAAATGGATTAGCACTAATGAAAGTGTATTAAATATTTACACTTATACCTTGATATGATAGTTTACACTTTTCGGGCATCATAATGATGTGACGTGATCAGAGTATAAACCCTGGTTTGTACTGAACCGACATACTAATCCTGATTCTTAACGTGCTTTTTCACAAGGAAACAGTTCACAGGTAGACATTTATGCCTACACGGACAAATTATTCTGACTCTCTAGTCGACCACTATATGCTCTTACTCTTAAATACCGCGTGCCTAGCGGAGAAGCAGCAAAGGCGTATTTCCAAGTCTTTGGTTTTACTTGGCTGGGGTTCGAACCCACAACTTCCCGCACTCAAAGGGAGGCAAAGAAAATGCAATTAAAATAAATTTTGTAAACCATGTGTTACCTTTTGTTTTGTTACTACCTATCATGACCTTATTATCATCTAAAAGAATTAAAATATTTTAAAAGTTCGTTTTGGTGACACCCCGTGAAAAATTTCTGGATCAGTTCCAGTTGATCCTTACAAGTATTTGACAAAAACAAAATAAGGAAAGGGATGGTACTTTACTTCTATTTTCTTAACGTTACTGAAAAGGTAGATAACTCAGTCTCTGTATAATTACGTCCGTCATATTATTATTCAGAAGGAACATGCATATGCATACAATTCTTAAAAGGCAGTGTCTGCGCGTACCCGCATGCGGGTACGAATAGTCAAATTGCCAGTCATAGGCTACGCGTACCCACATCCGGTTTTATAATAAAATGCCATCGGATCGGGAATGAAACGTGAAATATATACGGAATTTGTCGCAATTAGCGAATAAATTGATTAAGACTACTCAGAATTTTTATAAATATTTATATATAGGTAAGTGAACAGTTTTTCTCAGTTAATAAATATTCTTAAAAAAAATGGAAGAGAGTGATATACATGTGGGGAAGACATTTAAAAGTTATCATGAATTGGAAAAATTTGTTCAGAACTATCAGTCGATTAATTTTATGCAATTGTAAAAAAGAAACTCGGAGCCAATTGCAGCTGCAGAGGAAAGAAGAACTGGAAACACAAAAATTAAAGAGGAATTAAAGTTTAACAGAATAAATTTTTCCTGTATTCGCGGTGGCAAAAAATTCCAAACAAGTTCGACAGGAAAAAGACCTAATACCTGTGATTGTTGTTTGGACTGGCAACATTTGAAATGTGCAGGGTTGAAATATGTGCCAATGGATGTGTAAAATTTGTTCCAAATCTTTATTAGTTACATGAATCTTTTATAATTGGTTTAATTTGACATTATTACTTGCTTCTTTAATTTTTATACAGACACACAAGCTTTAATTTTAGTCGTTTAAGATATTTTAAAATTTCAGTTTCTGTTTTACATTTTGCTAAAAGATTATTTTTAAATCTCATATGGGTATTTTTCAAAATCAGTAAAATTTTATTCTTTAAATTTGCATTTACATTTTATAATAGTATTAATATTTATCATGTTTTTCTTTTACAGGGACTGTACAGTTTCATTTCCCATCAGTGTGCATTTAATTTGCAATGTTTATTATGTATCATTATCTAATAAATACAATTTGAAAATATTATTTTTCATACTCTTCACTCGTTCTACACGAAATCCCCATATTATCGATAATTTCCGTATATACATGTATTTCACGTTTCATTCCCGATCCGATGGCATTTTATTATAAAACCGGATGTGGGTACGCGTAGCCTATGAATGGCAATTTGACTATTCGTACCCGCATGCGGGTACGCGCAGACACTGCATTTTTCTTGCATTCGCTTGAATTATGGGTACTTAGATGATCCATGTATCTAGGCTGAGACTACTATAACACATGTGTTTCTGTTATAGTAGTCTCAGATCTAGGTACCTGTTCGTTATTATGATATTCATGATTTTTTACTTTTATATATTTCTCAAGACAAAACATGTTGATTACAAATAAATGTTCTTAAAAAAATATTTTCATAAAATTTCATTGATAATACTTATATATCTGAAGCGGTAAAGAATTCCATTTTGCACTCGATAACGTCAGTGTATTCACATGTATACACAGTTATGCGTGTTTAAAATCACACACAGAAATTGCCATAGCATTACTTCGAGTTAAAATGAGCGAACAAAGTCTACCTAAGACTCATACTACCACGTGCACCGTGAAATTGCAAACCTCGAACATGCAATCGGTGACGTCGAACAAAGTCAATACTAATGCACAGAGTCCTCTTACAGGGAACATTAATGTTCAGACTTCCCTTACAGGGAGCATTAATATACAGAGTACCCTTCCTGGAAACATGATTGATAATTAACAGAGTTCCATAAATGGAAACTAGCAATCGACTCGTCAGCGTATGTTAATAATTCCTTGTCAGGAAATGTTAAATGGCCCAACGTCATCAGGCATTTTACATCCCGAGTCATGTGCATGACAGTGTGCAATCCACTAATGAGTCAACAAAGTCACTTGAATAACATAATTGCCATGATAAAAAAGTGCAAGAAGCACTTGCTTCTGATTTGCACCTTAAAACCAAAATTTTAACGATTACTAGTGTTTCTATTGAACTAGCCATTGTTCAATAAGTTTAGAAATGAAAATTTTTATTAGTCTTTAACCATAGAGCCACTTGATCTTTCAGACCTGTCCGTTTCTAATGTAGAGAAAAAAATAACAATTCTAGTTTTTTTCCCTCAGGAACGAGATATAAAAATATATATATATCAATACTGAATACAATAACAAGGTCAGCAACTTGCATAAAAAAGCATTTTTATGCCCCCGCCGTAGCGGTGGGGGCATTAAGTTTTATCCTTGTCCGTCTGTACGTCCCAAAATTGGTTTCCGTTCTCTTACTTGAGTTTGCCCCAACCAAATGTTATGAAACTTATACACAATGCTTATTACCACAAAACACAGATCAAGTTTGAATTTTGGTGGCGTCATTTTAACCGTTCTAGAGTTATGTCCCTTTATAAATGGAAAAATTGCAAAATTTTTAGTTTCCGTTCTCTTACTTAAGTTTGCCTCCACCAAATGTTATGAAACTTTTACACAATGCTTATTACCAAAAAACACAGATCAAGTTTGAATTTTGATGGCGTCACTTGAACTGTTCTAGAGTTATGCCCCTTCATAAATGGAAAAATTGCAAAATGTTTAGTTTCCGTTCTCTAACTTAAGTTTGCCTCAACCAAATGTTATGAAACTTATACACAATGCTAATTACCACAAAACACAGATCAAGCTTGAATTTTGGTGGCTTCACTTGAACTGTTCTAGAGTGATGCCCCTTTATAAACGGAAAAATTGCAAAATTTTTAGTTTCCGTTCTCTAAACTTAAGTTTGCCTCAACCAAATGTTATAAAACTTATACACAATGCTAATTACCACAAAACACAGATCAAGTTTGAATTTTGGTGGCATCACTTTAACCGTTCTAGAGTTATGCCCCTTTATAAATGGAAAAATTGCAAAATTTTTAGTTTCCGTTCTCTAACTTAAGTTTGCCTCAACCAAATGTTATGGAACTTATACACAATGCTTATTACCACAAATCACAGATCAAGTTTGAATTTTGGTGGTGTCACTTGAACCGTTCTAGAGTTATGCCCCTTTACAAATGGAAAAATTGCAAAATTTTTAGTTTCCGTTCTCTAACTTAAGTTTGCCTCAACCAAATGTTATGAAACTTATACACAATGCTAATTACCACAAAACACAGATCAAGTTTGAATTTTGGTGGCTTCACTTGAACTGTTCTAGAGTTATGCCCCTTTATAAATGGAAAAATTGCAAAATTTTTAGTTTCCGTTCTCTAAACTTAAGTTTGCCTCAACCAAATGTTATGAAACTTATACACAATGCTAATTACCACAAAACACAGATCAAGTTTGAATTTTGGTGGCGTCACTTCAACCGAGTTATGCCCTTTTATAAATTGAAAAATTGCAAATTTTTTTATTTTCTTCTAAATATCAAGTAATTTTTAAAATTGGAGTTATCTTCCTTTGTCCATGATTATAGTTGAATCAACTTCAATCAATGCTTTATAAAATGCAATGTTTAATTTTGACTTCCACTAATAAAACACAGATCAAGTTGAATTTGAGTAGTGTCTTTTTAACCATTATTGAGTTATGCCCCTTTATAAATCGAAAGATTGCAAAATTTTTAGTTTCCATTCTGTAACTTAAGTTTGCCCCAATCAAACATTATGAAACCTATACACAATATTCATTACCACAAAACTAAGATTAATTACAAATTTTTTGTTTCCGTTTTCTAACTTTAGTTTGCCTCAACCAAATGTTATGAAACTTATACACAATGCTTATTACTACATAATACAGATTAAGTACGAAATTTGGTGGCGACACTTTTACCATTCTTGAGTTATGTCCCTTTATTAACATAAAAATTTGCTGAATTTTTTAGTTTGTCTCAACCAAATGTTATAAAACTTATACACAACCGTTCTAGAGTTATGCGTGTTTACAAATAGAAAAATTGCTGAATTTTTAGTTTCTGTTCTCTACTTAAGTTAGACTCAACCAAATGTTATGAGACTTACACACAATGCTTATTACCACAAAACTCATATCAAGTTCAAATTTGGGTAGCGTCACTTTTACCGTTCTTCAGTTATGTCCCTTTATAACTATATGATATGCCAGCAGGGGCATCATCTGTGTCCACATGTGGGCACTATCCACATTTTTTTAAGAATAATTTATTATCCATTATTTGACTGATAAATGGACATAGCTTGTTAACATTTTGATGCAGTCTGGTGTTTTTATTTCTATTTCATTATGGCACCCTCAGTGGAGTTGGGTGACATATTGTTTATCTACGTTTCTTTTTTTTTCTTTTTTTTTTCTTTTTTCTTCCACACTAGTTCACGAAATTAAACGGACCAATGTTGATAGAACTATACTATCATTAGGACACCCATGTGCACCTGACTTTGAATTTGTTCAAGATGGCCACCATTTCCATTGAAACAGCAAAAATGTTTTAAAAAAATCAAAATTCTGAATCTTTTATTATAAGACATATAAACTGGATGAAACTCAATGGAAATGTTACGTAGTATGCCTTGATGTGCAGACAGTATTTCGAAATTCCAAAATGGCCACCATTTTAATGGAAACAGGGGAAAAGTTTTAACATTGACCCTATGAGAAAACATTTTATTAAACATTTAAATTAAACCCAATGAAACTTTATGGAGATGTAAAATGTTATGGGTCAATGAGGTATTCATGTTGGAATTTTGGGAATGGCAACAGTTACCATGGGAACTTCAAATATGTCACAAAATTTCGAAATGCACAAAACTTTATGAAACTTTTCAGAATTGTTTCAAAAATGTGAAGAGTTGATATTTGACTTTGGAATTTTCACAATGGCCACCGTTACCATTGAAACATTTGAACCTTCTGCAAATTCACTGAAATATTTGTGGTCATGCATATATGTAATTGACTGTTTAAAATTTTCAAAATGTGTGCAGTTTAGTGGCAACTGGCAGACGAGGGTGCCATCCGCTATTGCTGGCAATTGCAAATCTAGTCATTAATTTTTATTTTACTGATAAACATGATAGTTTTTATCAATAAATATTAAGTTACAATATTATGTTAAAGGGGCAATAGCTACGAGATATTTAAAAAAAATGAAATATGAATTTTTTTGTTCAATCATTAATGACAGTGAAATAGTGAAATAATAATTCGCTTGTAACAGCCAGTTTGGTTCAGTTTTGTCAAATTAAGCAAAGAAAGATCCCTCATTACAAGTGAATAATTCGACCTCATTGAATCCGTATTCTATGAACTTTAATTGATCCCTATAGCTAGAGAGGCCCTCATGGGGGTGTCCAAGTAATCACATAATCTCAAATTTTTTGCCAATATAATCACATAATCATTAATTATTTTTTAAACAAGATAATCAAATAATCAAAAGTACAGTCCTAGATTATCAAATAATCAAATAATCACTATAAAAACGGCCAAGTAATCACATAATCAAAAACCCCATGAGGAGGCTCGCTAGAGAAGGGTTACGCATGAACTAGGCGTGTTCAGTTATTAAATGGAAAAGAATGTAAACATTGAAAGTGAAACAAGGGTAAACCATTTGGTTGACTGGTTCGATCTAGAAAAACTTATTCTTATACAGGTAAAAACGATTATCAACATATTTTTGTCGAGCCTTCGACTTTTGTCGAAAAAGCGAGACATAGCGATCCTACATTCCGTCGGCGTCGTCGTCGTCGTCGTCGTCGTCGGCGGCGTCCACAAATATTCACTCTGTGGTTAAAGTTTTTGAAATTTTAATAACTTTCTTAAACTATCCTGGATTTCTACCAAACTTGGACAGAAGCTTGTTTATGATCATAAGATAATATCCAAAAGTAAATTTTGTAAAAAAAAAATTCCATTTTTTCCGTATTTTACTTATAAATGGACTTAGTTTTTCTGCCAAGAAACATTACATTTACTCTGTGGTTAAAGTTTTTGAAATTTTAATAACTTTCTCAAACTATCCTGGATTTCTACCAAACTTGGACAGAAGCTTGTTTATGATCATAAGATAATATCAAAAAGTAAATTTGGTAAAAAAAAAATTCCATTTTTTCCGTATTTTACTTATAAATGGACTTAGTTTTTCTGCCAAGAAACATTACATTTACTCTGTGGTTAAAGTTTTTGAAATTTTGATAACTTTCTCAAACTATCCTGGATTTCTACCAAACTTGGACAGAAGCTTGTTTATGAACATAAGATAATATCCAAAAGTAAATTTTGTAAAAAAAAAATTCCATTTTTTCCGTATTTTACTTATAAATGGACTTAGTTTTCTGCTAGTTAACATTACATTCACTCTGTGGTTAATGTTTTTAAAATTTTAAAAACTTTCTTAAACTATCCTGGATTTGTACCAAACTTGGACAGAAGCTTGTTTATGATTAAAAGCTAGTATCTAGAAAGAAATTTTGGTAAAATTTTGTTCCATTTTTTCCGTATTTTACTTATAAATGGACTAGTTTTTCTTCCAGTTAACATTACATACAGTCTGCAGTTTAAGTTTTTAAAACATAAATTAGATTCATAAACTATCCTGGATTTTTACCAAACTTGGACAGAAGCTACTTACAATCAAAAGATAGTATAGAGAGGAATATTTTTATTAATTTTTTTCTCATTTTTGTTGAGCCTGCGATTAACAACAAAGTAGGCGAGACACTGGGTTGCGCGGAACCCTTACGAATTTTTTAACTTATAATGTGAAATCAAACAGACCTAGAAAAATCCAATTACACGAGTTCGCAATCTATTTATATCTATGTTTAAGTTTGTATCGGGTTATATGACCGCCGGCAGTCTTTGAAGGTCACCTCGATGGTTAATTAGATGGCATCTAGACTAAAATGCACACGAAATGCTGACATACACTATTGAGTCTATGCATTGTAAATTGTTTATTTTAGACTTTTTATAATTTGGATATGCGTTTTAGTATATTATAAGTTGAATATAAGAACTTGAGTCAAATCGGTGAACATGAATTTGACAGCTAATACCCCTTTAAACTATAACTTTGTTAATCCTTCATCGAATTTGAGCAAAGGAAAGATAGATGCCGTTTTTCAGGTCCAAGTCAGTATCAATTGGTCCATGTGATATTAAATACATATTTTTACGACATCGTGGAATTTACTGTTTTTTTTTAACATATTGTGGCATAAGCCTCAATCAGTTTTATCTTAAACTGCCTTCTGAATGAATCTCAGTAATCCAAGACACCATACCTAATGAGAGGGTTCGGACTTAGTTGTTACTTCCATGGTTGTTTAGAGAGGATTTGAAATAAATACAATATCTATATGTTCATCTGAACTCATTATTGGTGAATTTACTAATGATTTGCAAATTATTTGCACATATGATGTCTTGTGATCTCTTGTCTATATGTTACATCTTTTAATGGAAGAGGATGATCCAATTCCGTTCGATAATTTTCATCTTCAAATATTTAAGTGTTGAACTCCTTTTTCATATTTTGACGGTCGAACTGTAAAACCCAAACCTTTTCATAAGAATAATGAAACTTCTATCTGAACATAATACAGTTAATTTGAAATATCAAGCAATACTCAATTTATGAGTAAATGTTCCTATAATAAATGGTATGTTTGTAACAACGACATTGAAATGTGGTTTATTAATATTTTATTTCTTGTTTCAGTCTTTAATTCTGCAAGGATTTCTATGGGGAACAGCAGGTGCTTGTGGATACGCCTTTGGAACTGTCAATAGAGCAGCTGGTTTTTTATTCATTCCATATATGGCATGGTTGACATTGGCAACAGCTTTAACATACAGGATATGGAAAGACAATAAAGATAAAATAGATTAATTTATGATATTGCCCTAATATAATGATAAATGTGATTTTAGAAAAGAAAAAAAAAGCATATAAAGAAACTGTCTTGTTGAAACTTTTAGTGCAGGTATTTTAAAATCATGCCAACTCATTGTAAACATTAATGCAAATTCTCATTGTTTAACTTACAGCCCTTTCACTTGTTATCGCATGTGTTTTCTTGCACAAAACACACAAGCTGTACTGCATGTATCATAAAAACATAATGCTCATCAATAAACCATGAAAATGAGTTCAAGGTCAAATGAACCCTGCCAGACAGGCATCTCAACATTGTCATAACTGTATAGATCAACGATAGCTGACCATTTAATTAAACTAACTAAGGAATTGATCAATAAAACGTTAAAACAATCAGATAAACCCGGACAGATAAACGTGTACATCAAACAATGATTTTAGATATCTCTTGATTTTGATGTAATACTGAAAAAAAAATGGCCTAATCTCAAGAATATAACGCTGATCGATGAACCATGAAAATGAGGGGTCAGATGAACAAGTCAGACAAAAATTTATATCAAAAATGTTTTATAGATCGAATAGCCTTTACTTGTTACTTACGGTTCTTAAGAAACTCAATGTATGACGAAAACCTAAAATTTATCAATGAACGACAAAACAAAGGTCAAGTTCAGGTGAACCCTGTAGGGTAAAATGTACAACATACATTTTTTCTATAGTCTAAATATGGTTGACTTCTTACATAAAGTACTTGCGAAACTGACTAAATAGTTGAACAATGAAGCACTTAAATGAAGTAAATGAAGATGAACCCTATCATACGGACGTTTCGACTTTAAAATGATTCTTAAAACCAGATAGTTGATAGAGAAACTCACATCTGCATGAAAACTGTATGTTGATCACTAAACAATGGAATTAGGACAATGTCAGGTAAACCCTGTCTGATAGATATGCACACCTTACAAGAATTCTTTAAATCAAATATAGTTGAAGAATTACTCATAGTTAGTGAAAAGATCAGGGAATTTCAAACATATGTGAGACATAGGGATTACTATCCAGCTGCGGTGTAAATTATTTGTATTAAGCTTTATATTTCAGAAGGTGGAAGATCTGTATGCTTCATACTTGTATGCAGATACCTTTTTTCCGAAGTTTTAGTCTGTCATAAGTCCATTGTCTTTGACCTCATTTACATAGTTCAGGGAATACTTGAAAAAAATTGCAGTTTTTTTGTTGTGTGAATTTCTCACTTATTATGAGTAATATGATAACTATTTATGGTATATGAGGGGCCTGATGGGTTATTTTCGTTCTTCGTGATCGGCGTATTTTCGCTATCGTGATCCGTTTTTCTACAGATTTATTTTTTTTTTATATTTTCGTGATCCGTGATCATGGAAATTTATTTTCTGTGAATCGTGATTGACAAAAAAATCAACTCGTGAATCATGATGAGACCCCCCCCATCAGGCCCCTCGTATATGGGTTCCTTTCAACGTCTACATGTCCATCATACAGGGTTTACCTGACCCCACCTCATTTCATGGATCAGCGATCAAGGTTAAAATTACGTGATTATGTGCATTTCTCAGATACTATAAGCAGTAGGTCTACTATAGGTGGTGTATGGAATGTAAGGGGTACATGTTAGTCTGGCAGGTTTCATCATGCATTTACCTCATTTTGATGGTTCATTGGTCAATGTTAAGTTTTTATGCTTTGATCTGTTTTTCGAATACTAATAGTAAAAGGTTAGATATATTTGGTGTTGGAATGATTGTAATGTGTACATGCCTTTCCGACAGGTAGCATCTTACCTTGAAATTTTGGCCCTTGAGAAACACTCAGCATACAAATAGAATTTTGAGTTGCTGCCTGAGCAAGTCAGCTTGCAAGTTTCAGTGTAAGGAAGAAAAGAGGGACGAAAGATACCAGAGGGACAGTCAAACTCATAGATCGAAAACAAACTGACAACGCCATGGCCAAAAATAAAAAGACAAACAGACAAATAATAGTACAGATGACACAACATAGAAAACCAAAGACTAAGCAACACGAACCCCACCAAAAACTGGGGGTGATCTCAGGTGCTCCGGAAGGGTAAGCAGATCCTGCTCCACATGTGGCACCCGTCGTGTTGCTTATGTTATTACAAATCCGGTAAATAGTCTAATTCGGTAAGTCACATTCGTGAAAAGGGAGGGTAGTTACGACATAAGGAACATATCCGATATCATCTGTGAAACGGCTATTCCATAACGGTCAACCAACTCGTGATGGCGTCCGTAAAATTTACGAAGGGATGATTTCAACTTCACCATTTGGAACTCTTGGTTTAATAGCTTCCTTGTGAGCAGCAATCCTCTATCAAGGAAATCGTGATAGGAAACACAAGCCCGGGAATATCGTATCAATTGGGAGATATACACTCCGTATGCAGGCGCTGCTGGAATGTTGCTACATAGAAATGGAAAGTTCACAATTGGGAAGCTGAAAGAAATCATCTCTTTTGTCGTAAAGTTTTGTTTTCAACCGACCCTCATTGTCAATTTCTAAGTGTAAGTCAAGATATGAGGCAGACTTAGCTGTATCTGTAGTATCCTTTATCTCTAGTTCGATGGGATAGATTCGTTCAACATAGTCACCAAATTTTGTATTATTTAGTGAGAGAACATCATCTATATAGCGGAACGTAGAGTTAAAGGATATTGCTAACTTCTTATCTTTCTTCCTAAGAAGTTCCTGTATGAAGTCAGCCTCATAATAATAAAGAAACAATTAGGCAAGAAGAGGGGCACAATTGGTTCCCATTGGAATTCCGACAGTCTGTTGAAAAACTGGTCCTCCAAACGTAACAAATATGTTGTCAATCAAGAAATCAAGCATCTTGATAATGTCAGTTTCAGAGAATTTTTTGTTTGAATCAGAGTGATTCTTTACAAAGTAGGATTTATCCCTCCCCAAGACAAGATACTTGTATCTACGTTCGCCATTCTTTTTAATGAAACAAAGTAATACCAACTCTTTCAATTTGTCTTTTAGTTTGGAATGGGGAATACTTGTTAAAAGTGTTGAAAAGTCAAATGTTTTAATACTATTGCAAGATGAGAGAGTCTTAGATTGTATGTACTCTAAAAGATCTTTGGAATTTTTTAGTATCCACATCTGATTCACGCCACCTCTAGAATAGGCAGTTTCACAATAACTTTGGAGCCCGGCTTTGATTGCTGATAAAATAGATGTTAATAATATAGAAAGAGGTTTCGTGGAGCACTTGGAAGACCTAGCAATATACCGTTGTTTGTAAGGACACTTATGTAGTTTAGGTATCCAATACAGTGATGGAAGATCCAGTTCTTCATCTTTGGTTGAAATTCCAAAGGAACATAGAACAGACCTATGATTATCCAGAATATCCTCTTTGGTAAGTGTCGTGAGGGTATATGTTGAGTTTCCAAGTGAATTGTCAATACCTAATTCATTTATCAAGCAGTTTATGTAATGATATTTACACACAAAAACGATGTTGTTTGGGGCTTTATCTGCGGGGACAACAACATATTTGTCATGGAGGTAGGACGAGTGTTCTGCAACATATGGGTCTTTAAAAATTGACGTAGCGTGGGTATTTTTTGCCCATTTAGTTTCTTAATTCGGATTTGTATCAACGACCTCACAGCCTGAATCCATTCGGAAAGAGTATCTAAGAACCTGCCTGCCCGGCAATCTGCCAGCCGGGGAATGTGGAGCAAGGTTTCTCCACTAGGGGATGAGACTAGGGGTCTCATCTGCAGCTGGGGTGTGCAAGGTCTGCATGGGGATAGCCCATGTACTAGTAGAGTAGCAGGGGTCTATCATACTGGCACTGGAACAAATTTGATAAATGAGGGATGAATGAAATTTTAGAAATGACCAGTGATAACATTCCATCAAGAAAAATAAAAATAAAAGAAAAATATATATCACTAGTTAAAGCTGATATGTTTCCCTTGTCATGAAACAATATTGAAGGCGTTAGAACGAGGATGGTGGGGGGTAAATTGAATAATAGCACTGTAAAACTCTTATCAACTAGTCAGACTGCTATGAGCCAAGAAACTGATTATACAAATACCATGCATAAGGCTTTAGGTGTAATACCACCAAATCATAGTACGTCACATCCGGTTGCATACGAAAATAGGTCGAAAAAAAATATTCCCTTGAATTTGACAGTTGTAGGTAATTGATCCTACATTTCATTGCAGTAAAACATTTCTGAGTCATAAACATATATCTTGGGTATTTCAAAGCACCATTATTTCTTTATTTGGGGTTTCTATAGAATATTTTGGAAACTTGAGGTTACATGGTTACTTAAGCTTGTACACAGGTTAAAAAAGGGGGAAAATTTGATTGGTTAACTTCCAGTGATGGTTATTTTCTTATATGCAATGAAATGTTATGTGAAATTTTTTCTATAGTACTGGACAGGATAAAACTTTACTCATGCCAAGTATTTCCTTATTTGAAACAAAGATAAATTCTGCACAATTTTTTGAAAAGTGAAAATTTAACAAAGACTAATAGGGGAAAATCAATGGTGGTATTACACCTAATATGGGAAGCTGTACATGCACCTTTGACCTTGTGAGTACTCTCATGTGTTAAAATTTCTTGCTATTTAAGTGAAATATTACAAATAATGAAATATTCTGAGTGGATTGAGTCTCCAAAATACATTTTATGAGAAAATTTCCTTGAAATAGGACTTTACCATGAATATTAGTTGACAGAACAAGCCATACTTAGAGTCTTGGGGAGCTTTTTCTCCTTATTTCTTATATTCTGCTATACTAGAAAATTTTTCATAAGAAATACTTTAATAAATATATAGTTTTAAGTAAATGAAATTATTTTTAAAGCAGTAACAACAAATTATTCACCAAAAGAGAAGTTTTTTATGTCCCTCACTGGAACGCGGCGTAAATTTAAGTTTTACGCAAGGACTTATTGAAACCTCCTTGGAGACAGTAAACTTTTATACGGATAGTTCAAGCAGCTTGAATACTTCAATTAATCATTTATAATAACATTTCTATCATAAATGAGTGAAAGTTACCCCAAAATTTTTATTTATTGGCCTAAAAAGTAGAAATTTTGAGGAAATGAGAGGTATAAATGGACCAAAAGAGACTTTATAAGGAAGAATAAGAGGTCCATTAGTAGTATTTATCATCCTAAAGTCATCTTTTGTATCATATTCAACTGTTTGTAGGCAGATGAGATAAATATTTGATCATTTATTGGTCCACACTATATTCTATCATGATGCGGCTTGGTTTGAATTTTTCGAAGAAATTTTGCTCGAATCCCTGTAGATGTCGTCTTACATTATACTAGATTTTTCTCAAACTATTGAACTGATTATGACAAAACTTGACAGGAATGCTTGAAATAACCAGTATTACAAAGGAAAAAAGTCACATTCAGTTTATTCAACAAAAAAGTCTTCTTTAGGTGTAATACCACCAAATCATAGTACGTCACATCCGGTTGCATACGAAAATAGGTCGAAAAAAAATTTTCCCTTGAATTTGACAGTTGTAGGTAATTGATCCTACATTTCATTGCAGTAAAACATTTCTGAGTCATAAACATATATCTTGGGTATTTCAAAGCACCATTATTTCTTTATTTGGGGTTTCTATAGAATATTTTGGAAACTTGAGGTTACATGGTTACTTAAGCTTGTACACAGGTTAAAAAAGGGGGAAAATTTGATTGGTTAACTTCCAGTGATGGTTATTTTCTTATATGCAATGAAATGTTATGTGAAATTTTTTCTATAGTACTGGACAGGATAAAACTTTACTCATGCCAAGTATTTCCTTATTTGAAACAAAGATAAATTCTGCACAATTTTTTGAAAAGTGAAAATTTAACAAAGACTAATAGGGGAAAATCAATGGTGGTATTACACCTTTACACAGAGATTGGGTACATCAAACATCCAGTGGGAGGACCCTCAAATAATATACTAATTATTGTGTAATAAGTTTTATGAGATCTGGTATCATATCCTGCTTTTCCTCTCCAACAGTGATTGTTCGTGACATGTATCTGATTAAGAAAATATTAGTGTGCCTCCTGGTGAGATTCCAGTTGTCGCTTCAAAGTGTCAAATGTTAGAGAAATTAACCTCAAGATATAACAAGTGGTCTGAGTATGTTAATGAATTGTATCCAGGATGTCAGCATCTTTTATTGCGTGAACCCCTGAGGGTTCACGCATATATATTGGTTGATGTTATATAGCCTGGCATCCTGACCCAATCTAATACTTCGTCTACTGTCGAGCAGTGAGCCAGGATCCCAGGCTAGATGTTATAGTCTTTTGGAAAACCGGAAATGCCTACTGTCTTTTCGGAATACATCTGTTCTTTTCTATGGCCACCTGCGTAATAGATAATGAATTGATCTAATGAATATGTATTAGCGTCCAACAGTTGCTATGGAGATAAGTGTTAATCGAGACTGATTGATATCCTACATAGCTAATTAAATTAGAGTCGCACATGTTAAGTTTTCTGAAATGCAAGCTGTGTTTACATTGGAGCTCAAGTAGATTTTAAGCGAAACAAGTTGCGATCTTTAAAAAAAGAAAAGCAATACGTGAACTCGAGACCGCTGACTAGTCACCAAAAGGTTGTTGCTGAATTTTTGTTTGCTTTTGAATTGAAATAATTGACTGTGAATAGAATAAGATAATGATGATATTAA